AAAGTTATAAGTCAAACGAAGGCATTCATAATAATATTATAGACGCCACAGTTTTCCGCGGTTTGTCGGCGTTAGAGTGGGGATGGCCGGATGAAACCTCGTGGGAAGTTGCAATGGCCTCTGTAAAATACATATTCTTAAGCCTAATTTTCTAGCTCTTTTAATTCCCGAGATTTTCGCATTTGTTTGAGCCTTGTGGGCGTATGGGTAGGTGTGGACGGATAGTAGTACTACTATAAGATGCGCTGGCATCTAAAGATTATACATTCGAAATTTAATTTCTAGCTCTAATAGTTCCTGAGATTTTATCGATTTTAGTTTTTCACGATTTGTGGGCGTTAGAGTGGGCGTCCCTGTCCCGGGACCTCAAGAATCTTCATGCTTAATCTCAGCTTTGTATCTGCTATAGTTCCTGAGATCTCAGCGTTCATACGGACGGACGGACGGACGGACGGACGGACAGACGGACATGGCTCAATCGACTTCGCTATTGATCCTGATCAAGAATAAATATACTTTATAGGGTCGCAAAAGCTTCCTTCTATCTGTTACATACTTTTCAACGAATCTAGTATACCCTTTTACTCTACGAGTAACGGGTATAAAAAGCGTATTCTTGATATGACAGCGCATCTTAAGGCGAAGAACCTTGTTGTCATTAAGGTTTATGTTTCGGTTAGACCTTTTATAATATTTAATATACATATGAAGCTGAAAAGAAATTCCCTTAAAGGACACGAAATTTATGACTACCCTTTCCAACAAAAATATAAAGCAGCGAAAAGCAAAGAGACAATTTTAACATGTGCATATATTTACATATGTGAATAAACACGTATGTACTACTAGGGCTGTAAATTGACCAATTCTTTCCCTTTGTCCGCTGATGGGCATTTTGTTCTTTTCGCAAGGGACAAAACACAACATCACTCAATGTACTCGATAAACATGAAAACGCTTCGGTAGCCGGTCACAAAAGAAAGCGATGAATAAATTTCCTGCGCTCGTTGGCAGGACCATAACGTGCAAGCGGCAGCAACAGCAGAGTACCAGAGGACCGGAGAAAGAAGACCTGACCGGAGACGGACCGTAATTATGGAGCAACGGCGAGCAACAGCTGCAAACGAATTGGGTCCGGCGCCTGCGCTGCTTCAATATTAATTAAGCGTGCACTCCGATGAAGTACAGGCCCGAAAAGAGAACGAATTTCGTGTGCCTGCGGTAGCACTCACTAAACTTGACATTGACTTATTGTGCACGCAGGCAGGACAACTGAGCCAGAGTCAGAGCCTGAGCCTTATCCCATGTCGGGACCGGTGCCGGTCCCGACCAGAAAATGAAGCCGGGGCTATAGTCGGACATATTGTGTAGGCCACGAGCCAAATGTCTCTTTCATGGCTGTTAATTTCCAGCTATTGTTCGGTTTGGCGCCGGTCCGGCCTGGGCTCCAATTGAAAGCGTTGGGCATAAATTTAATTTTAAGCAATCGCTGTGCCTGACGGCACTTGATGTCGACGTTGTTGTTACATACACACAACGAGTCGAAGTCCCCTTGGTGAACAATAAATACATCATCAAAGCCCGCTCCTGGCTCCAGTTGTCCATTGTTGCACTTGCCGCCGCCAGCTAGCTTAATTATAGTTTCGATATGGACGCCAAGAAACGAGATTACAAGTATCGTAAGCCGAAAATTTATGCGTTACGTATCTAATTGCTAAAATCCAAACAACACATCCCACAAGGCATCAGGCGGCATCATTAATTTTCCAAAGTAAATAATATTGAACTGTACAACTTGTTTCAGCACAATAACTGCAGCTTGCAATTGTGAAGTGCACTTACTGTGGAACTCTAATCTGCATTAAACTCATGCGGTCAAATCATTAGAATCATTCAAGCTGACCTTAATTGATAGTCTCGTGAGTTTTTGGGAAAGCAGGTGGAATGAATTAATTCAATGAATCCATATCACAATTACTCTTATCTCTGCTATTACAAGTTTGTTCAGTTGTTTTCTCTACTTGTGAACCGTATTACAGTTTCTTAATAACGTCATATTCTAAATTATCATTTATTATTTAATTATTTATTATATTGGTAAAAATATAATGTCTGGATTGATCTTCCAACGAGGAAAAGCTTAATGATGGAAAACCCGTCAGACACATTGAAAATTTCAAAAGCTGACTAGATAATAAAATTGTTTAATAAAACCAAATGGGTTCTGGAAAATGGTTTTACATTAAATGGAGCCTAATTTATAAATAATATTTTGAAGTTTTTAATTTCTTATTGATGATTTGTTGTCTATTTTATTAAAATCCGTTGAGCGGACCTCGTTTAATACCCGCTACTCGTAGTGAAAAGGGTATAATATATTCGAAAAGTATGATACACGTGGAATAAAGTATAATCAATAGAAAGGTCGATTAAGCTAACATATGTCCGGCTGTCCGTACGAACGCAGAGATTCCAGAAACTATAAGAAACAGAAAGTTGGGATTAAGCATGCAGATTCTTGGTATACCTACGCATCATCCTATCACGCCCACTCTAACGCCCACAAATCAAGAAAAACGAAATCGCTGACATCTCAGGAACTATACATTGCGGATCAACTAAATAAAGGGGTAGAAAGTTGTCTGTTATTCCTAAACCAGTTTTCCGAATTACATAATGTAGCAGTCGGTTACGCTAGCATATGTAAGTGACACATAGTCACATAACCTTACCCATACACACTTGGTTGTAAATTGTTTTTCAAAAACATATTATTTATTCCTTATTACTTTTCTTCTGAAAGGAATTTAAACGATCGGAAATCGAGCTACACAAATTTTTCAGTATTTGCTGCGAAATTAATTGCCGCCACTAAAATTGTTTTTGCAATAAAATTTCCTGACTCTTTCCTAGCGCGATAGAAACCCCTATACGTTTTCCATTATATTATATTAGGGTAGGGTGAATTTGGGGGCCTTTAGGGGAAGTCCTCGTTTTGAACCCTATTCCCCCTTTTACCACTACCCTTCAACAGATTTTAGCCTAAGACCTCTGTCTAAGGCCATATACGATTCAGTTGGTTCAGCAGGTTAAGCCGCTTGACCATCCAATGCGTTTTCGGTTCGCGGGCTCAGAAGCGCTTGGTCGAAGATGACTATTTTTACCGATAAGGCCCATTTCCACTTTGGTAGTAATGTTAATAAGCAAAACTGTCGCATTTGGGGTTCAGAAAATTCACACTTCGTCTTGAAGAAGCCAATGTATTCATCCACAACGAATGACTGTTTGGTGCGGTATGTGGTGGGTTGGCATTATTGGGCCGTTTTTCTTTGAAAACGTTCGAAAATCGCATAATCAACAGAAACGGCGATGTCAACAGGCCGCCTCGCAGCTGCGATTTTACCCCGTTGGAATATTTTTTGTAAGGTGCCGTCAAGGGTAAGTGTTACGCCAACCACCCAGAGACGATTGACAACCTAAAGCACGAGATTGAAGTCGCCATCAGGGCCATAGAAACCATGCCATATGAACAAAGTGGTGTTTCATACATGAACCGCAATGTTGAGGCTATCCAATAAAAAATATTTTTGAAAAAGATATTCTCGTTGTTTTTTTATAGCGATTTTAAAACGCAAATCTTTCGTGGGCTTATGGCCCACATTAAAAATAGTTTTAAGAAAAACTCGTTCTTCTGATAATCGTTTGTGAATACATATGTACAAAAAAATTATTTTTTTACTAACCAAGCTATCAATGTAATTTAGTGTAAAGTTTGAAATGAATTGAATCGATATTTACTTGACCTACCCACTTGATTAGTCTTTCGCAGAACTTTAGGTTTTCATCGATCCAAAAAAACCCGTATAAGACCTGATAAAAACTGCGGAATGTATTTTCTCTCATGGTGACATTTTATCAGTGTACCAATTTAAAAAAATTCCATTATACAGTTATTGCCTTAACTTAAGCAGCTTAGTACATGATGGCACGGGTTCTACTTTAAACAGCTATTTCGGCATATGCACTCTCTACGTGGATACATTGGATCCCCACAGTCCTGTCCAGGAGCTCCATCTGGTTCTTGGCCACCGGGCCAGTGTACATATGACTTTATGACTTTTCATTGGAGGCAGCATTGCTTGGGGGTCTTTCGGGAAAAGGTGGATGAAGAGGACGGATGACGCTGGGACACGACAGCGATGGGGCAATTCAAATGAATTTTTGCGCTCGCTTCGCAACGCTTTTAATTGAAAAACATTTTCGTTTTGGTTTTGGTTTTTGCATAGGCCAGAAAATCGTGCCGCAGCCACTTGCCGCCATACGCCTTTTTCAGGGTCCGCCCCAGCCACTTTCGGCCAGTTGCCTTCTGCCGCTTGGTGGCAAACAATTCCACCGCAAGACCATACCGAATATGGCCATACGTACTGTGCGCACGCGTTCATGCATAAATTCTACCAAGTGTCCATTTTTCTGATTTGTGTGCAAACTTTTTTCCTTGTTGTTTGCCAGCCGCCGCACAGCGTTGACTGACTACACAGGACAGGGACAAGGATAAGCAAGCAGATGGAAGTGGTGTTGGGGGTTTTCGAGAGGGATGATTGGTAAACTGGATCTGGTGTCTTGATGCCTTGCGCTGAAATAAAAAATCCATTTTTGAAAATCGGATGAGCTTATTTAAAATAAATAATAATATTTATTGATATTTTTTATTAATATTTTATTTTCATTTTTTTATTAATTTAAACTATAAGTATAGATAAATTGCAGAACAAAAGCTTACACAATAAAAATCGTTCGGAATTTTAGAGAAATTCTGTACATTTCAGCGCAACTCTAAGTGTAGACTCCACTGTCCCCCAAACTGTGCTTTTCGCATTCAAATGCAGGCAGAAATAAAAATTGAATTCGTTCAAAGAAATAGTAGGGACTTTCTATTACATTTCCGCGTGCTGTGAAAGAAATGCGTACAAACAAGAAATTAAAATACAAGAGTGCGGCGAAACGTTTTAAGAATTTTTAATTAAAATGGCAACGCTCGGTGCACTATGAATCAGAGCTGGCCGCAGATCAGCCATTCCACACTCATCGCGCCAATTCCCGAATTTCCTGCCGCTAATTATGTTGCTTTAATGACTTCTTTGGGTTTCGTGTCCGCCATGGGCTTGAGATTCATTCGATGGTCAATCCGTATGCACCCTGGGTCTCGGGTTTTGAGATAGTCTTCAGCATCCCAAGCCTGCTGGTCGGTAGTGCCCCAAATAAGGTACACCAGGTTGCCGAAAAAAAAAACAATGGCAGTCATTGCAAACACAATCTGCCACTGGCTTCGCGAGCCCTGATTAAAAAAGATTCAGAAATAAAGTAATTATAATATTGCATTGTTCGGTTAAAAGACTCACCTGATCGGTGACAATGACACCCACTAATAGGGGCGTTAAAAGCGGAAATATATTGCCAATTCCGTTCACAATAGCCATCAACATCCCGGAGTGGTTTGGCGACATGTCGATTATGGTCAGAATGCTGCCAATTCCAGAGCCCGCATTTAGGCCGGCGTTAATTGTCATCAAAGCGATGGCCAGACTAGTCTGATTCTTGTCTAGAAACCCAATTCCAATGAGAGCCGCAGCCGGACCCCAGTAGGAAACTGTGTTAATCAATTTGCGAAGCATGGTTAGCGTCATCCAATTGCGCGACATGGCTATGTCCGCAAAGGCCAGGTAAACGTAGGACATACCCCACATGGCCAAGAAGGGTAGAGCCGAGTACAGCGCGTTACTCTTGATGTCCATCTCCAGGACGCCGTGCATGTAGGAGGGTGTCTGTAGCTGCATTGTGGAGTTGGCCCAACCCTGGGCACCCCGCACAATCAGCAATGCGTAAAAAGGAACGGATGTCCAGATGGCCCTCCATGGAATAGGAATATTTTGGGCGTGAAAGCCTTCGGGTCTCTTCATAGAGCGTTCGATGTGCTCCTTTTCGCGGTCGCCAATAAGCCGGGAACTAGGCGCGTTATTCGCACCGAGAATCACCCAGAGCAGGCACCATATCCCACATGTACCTGTCGACACGTAGAATATTCCGGGCCAGCCCATGCCGCTGTTCGCAATCAATCCGCTGCTTGCCATGGCCAGAACTGATCCGCAGTCGGCTCCAGAGTACGCAAAGGCGCCCAATCGGTTGCGATCCTCTGGCGGAGACCACTTGGCTAGGTGCTCATGTATGCAAGGAAATATCAGACCCTGGAAGAGACCCTCCACAAATCTTATGACGCTGAAAGCCTTCCATCCTCCCCATGCTACGCAGTATGGTGTGAGTCCGCTTAGGAAAGCCGTTCCCACTGTTGGTATGAGCAGAATGGTCTTAGCTCCAAATCTCCGTACGAGAAATCCGGCTGGAAACTGGGTGACGATATAGCCCCAGTAGAAGCTAGACAGGACATACGACTGCTGCGCACCAGTCCAATCGTACTCCTGCAGGCGGGATTTCAGTAATTACTAAGCGATGCAGACATCTATCGAATCGTACTCACCGGAAAGTCCAGATTGGTGGTGGCCGCATCCGTCATGGCCACTATGGCCACACTCACGCTGAGCCGGGCTGTGTAGTTCACGACGATGGCTAAGAACAGCAGAAGAGCCTGCAGGTGACGAATGCCAATATTAGGTCCTAAGGAAGTAATAAGTAAAGTAAAGTAAAGTAATATATTCGGAAAACAGAACAACGCTATACCCGAGTACCTAAATTATCAGACCCAAACACATTCATGGCTAGATCGCCCTGGCTAGTTCTCCTAATCAAGACTACTACTGGTTGTTGGTTCGGAAAGGTCTTGTTCGATATTTTTACATATAACTGGACGTATGAACAGAGATTAAGCATGAAAAATTGTTCCACCGAAAATAGTATGTATACATAATAGGACATATCATAACAAGTTTTACAACTCACTTATAGCACTCCATGCCCGATTATCTAAGAATAGGTCTCTGAAGTTGATAATCTGTATTGTAAAATGAACATCGACGGAGATATAATGTACCTACGGAACGATTAAATTGTGATACTTGCTATACATACTTGCTATTACACAATCCGCTACTTGTAGAGGTAAAGGGTATATTATATTTATGGAGAAGTGCATACTTTACAAAATCGAATTCCTTGGCAATCGAGGAAATTTAGATGGTCAGACATTTATGTAACGTACTTAATTTGAAATGAGCTAAAATAGACAAAGGTCGAGGCACAATCTTGTTTTAAGTAACAAACTTCAATTTTAGAGCAAAACTATTTTTTCTAAATTACCTAAATACTTTAATACAATTTAATATAATGATTTCGACCTATTATGTGCAGCACAGTTTTAAGGTATTTACTTAGTTTATATTACATTCTCCACACATAGTGCATCAGAGTTCAATCGAGCCAGCTCACTTTGTAATTTAAATGAGTTACCTAACAGAGTTGGCCCTAGATACTATGAGTATTTTTGTTTGCAGACTAAATTCCTTTGCAAAGCCCATTGCCCAGTTCGGATAGCCATTGCTTTAGGTCACAATAAAATTCAATAAATATAATGTTTCATGGCCCAATGAACTCCTTTTAATACTAATGCGTAAGACGGTTTATTGGTGAAATGTCGAAATTAACAAATCGTTTTTAATCTTATCTTACATTGATATGACCATTTCAATGTGTAATTATTGCAAATTATTAGTTCATTTACAGAACAAAGAGTAGTGTTTCATTCCGTGCAAAGGGTTTAAAAAGCTTTAACTTAATTGTATAAATAAAAACGCCTCTAAATACTGATAATATAATTGAAAGAATTTTATAAACAAAACATTTCAACTTTTTATTTCGTTTATTCGCGCTCAGTTTCTAACACATGATTTTATTGCTGTCATATATTCCATCCGCTTATTATATTAATAGTATTTATTAGCCGGATAATTTTCTTTTGTTTATATATATCTTCATTATTATAAATTTGTTCACCTTTTTGGTCAGTGCTCATTCTGTCGTCTGGCAAATCTCTTCGCGCACTTCAATTAAATGTTATAAATATTCGATATTCGACCAGTTCGGAATATCAGTTAGGCCAGACAGCAAAAACTCACTGCCAACCGTGTCAATAGCTAAAATGCGTCTGAGCGTGACATTTAAAGCTCTGCCCACCATATAGTGTATATGACTGCAATTAGACATCAAGATTGGGCCTCTGCTTAATATGTTTTATCATAGTACCGATTACCCAAGCGATAGCTGGATGCTACCTGCCGCATTCCAAACCTGATATTGTCGACTAATTGCCTCTATACGTACACAAACACCCGTGATCCGAACACAGAAACTAAAACTGCTCCTTCTTACCAGTCATTCAGTAATTTAATCAGTAATCTTTTTGAGCAACATCAACATTGATTAGAACCAGAAAATGCATAATTAAATTTTAATAAACGGACGACTATATTAGTGGTGTGTTTAAAAATTAAGCCGGCTGTTCTTGACCAACGATTATTTTAGATTTATTTGTTGCCTATTATGTACTCTTCGTACGTGCTTTAGGAGAAAATCTAAAAATTCGCGGATGCTTCACTTACTGTGGTAAATTCATTTCAAATAAATTGTAGTACCCACTGCAAAATAACAAAATGGTTATTCAAGTTATCTAACCCTATCATTTTATTAATTAAAGAAATTTCGCATAAATTAAAATAAAATTATTGAAGTCATGTGAAATAAAATTGATTTCAATAGCCGCAATCAATGACACATTAAGCCGTATATTTTTCCAACAATAGTTATATCTTTATCATTGCTGATAAGGAAAAGTTACTAAAAAAATTTATTTCTACAGTTTTTTCGATTAAAAATTACATAATATTCGTATCATTGATTTTGGAAAAACTGTAAGAAGAATAGGAACGTTATTATTATTATTATTGTTTGTAGTATTAGTATTGACTATAAGAGCGACAGAGCTTAGTTAATATAAATAAATACATATTTTAAAGATGCCAGTATGACTCAAGGTGATTTCATCTGACTCCAACGCCCAAAACAGGGCGAAAAACTACGTCCATAATAATAAGATTTATGTTTTAGTTTGGCTTTGTGTTATATTTTTTTGTCAATACCGATCAATTTAAAAAAAATATTCAAATTAATAAAAAAAATGTCAGTGACGTCACCGTCAGTTATAAGACATTCTCTTTGTTGTTCTGACAATAGGTGGGGCGATAGTAACATTGTACACGGCGTCAATTTATAAAAATATTATTATTATTATTTTAAAATTAGTAAACACAGTAACGTGTTACTGATAGTTATATAATTTTTCCTCTCGCTTCTTTTTATTAATTTGCAGTAATAATAATAGCAGGGATCCTTAAGGGATATTATTGGTAATATTGTGGTATTAAACTGTGGCGTATTATAGAGAAAAGATTGTGTGTTTCTAGTTATACCCGTTACTCGTAGAGTAAAAGGGTATATTAGATTCGTTGAAAAGGAAGAGGGAAGCGTTTCCGACCCTATAGAGTATATAAATCAAGTTTATTGTTCTTTAGTTTGATGGTTTTCTTGTGTTAAATTGTTAAAGTTAAGGAGTGTTATTAAAGAATTCGGTTCAAGCAGACAGAAAATCGATGATTGTTATCTGGACTTATTAACTGTTAGAAAATTGTAAATGATACACAAGCCCCATTTAGAGTCGTCTAGAATTTCCCGCTACTAATTTAACTGGAGTTATCCGACTATAGATGTTCAAGCACATTGCACGTCTATAAGACTTCTCGTAAGCCTATTCGGACATCGGATACCTCTTTAACTAGATTCAGATAATGTGATGGCTCCTTATATGGGTCAGATGTGATTAGGGCAATATTCTAGGGACAATATGGATCGTTCTTCTTTGTACCAGTAAATATTTTAAGGATTAAATATATACAGAAATGCTGTATCGGTAAAAAAAAAAAGTAAAACAAATAATCTTGAGATGCGCAAGCATCCTTACAATCTCATATTTACATATGTAACCAACTAACATACAGAATGCATTGTTCAACACAAGTATAACTCCTCAATCATGTACTAAATTTCAAGAAATACACGCTGAATATCAATAAGTCCAAAGAAAATAATAGTTCTTGTGGATATTGTGATATCCCTACTATACTTACTCTCCCGAACTCTACGATATATATATATGTATATATATATTTGCATATTATTTACATGTTTTTTTTTGTTTAAAAAGAGGAGCTTATTGACAACGGTCGATGATAGCCGCGTGCACGTTCACTTATAAGTTGTTCAGCTATACTGAAAACTCTTTCAGATTCGCACGAAGATGCCGGATCGCAGAAGTATTATTAAGATAACGTTTTAAAATCGTCGCCATTGTATTATGTAATATATGTACTTACAATTCGTCAATCTTCCTCAATGTGCCTTAGAAATGGAAAATCATCGGTGTTGCTCCGGTAAACATCGATGTTGCCGATGTTTCGAAAACATCGATGTCATCGATGTTCGCATCGATGTTTCTCCACCTCTACTTAATGATTTTAAACGGTCGCCACTTGCTGTGCTATCGCGGAGAAAATGAGGGAATATAGAAAAAGTAGCCTGGTCGCCGATATATACATATGTATGTGTATGTATAAGTTATCTTATAGTCGTCTGCTCGATGGTAAAGCTGCTCCAGGTCAGGCCGATAAGGAGGCACCAGTAGGGTGCTTGCTGAGTAGTAGGGAGTGTCAAGATAGATGGGAATTGGCGGCCGGACTGCTGCTCCCAGGTGGCCGCTAATAGCATGTCGAGAGGGTGACTGCCCCCCTATACCCCTGGCATTAAGCTCAGTGGGCGAATGCAAATAATATGACGGCGATTGCCGGATTAAAGTTTATGGAGCTAAGTGCTCTTTATTCAAATAATTATAAAACAGAACTGAGGAACTTATATGTACGAAAAAGGAAGCTTAGTCGGCAGGCCGACCGCATGGCAGTGGAAAATGGTGACGATCGCTCGATCAACCAAGATTTCTACCGACTGTTTGTTACGCCTCAGTAGTGTTAACTTATACATTGACTGAAGGCAGCGAATGGTGATGGGGGAGGAGGAAAGGAAGTTGTTTATTTTTTATATTTTGTTTGTTTTAGGTTTGTTTGCGTTTTCGAGACGTTGATGTGGAGTCTGCACTATGGATGAGAGGGGCGCGGTATTGACCGAATTTGATGGCGTTTTTTAAGCAATGTTTTGGTTTTTATTTTTTAGATTTCTTCAATTTGAGAATTTTATTTGTAGAAGATTTGATATTAGGGGTTTACTCCTTTACTTATGAAGGTTTTTTTTTATTAATTAATTTGTTTGCATGTGAAGTTACTGCCATTCGAGAATCATGTCTTAGTGCAAGATGTTACCAAGATTGGAAATTCGCTGTCCCCCTGCTAAATTAATTATTTTGAAATTATTTTTTTATACAAATTTAAAATAGCTTATTTTCCAAGAGTGCTGCGACTATAAGATACTCGGTACTGTTTTATACAATTTTTAAATATTTATTTTGTGCAAATTCACAAAGCGTTACCTTCTGTTAGAAAAACCATGTTGAATAACTTATGGTAACGTCACTGTCCAAGCGGAGCCTTAAACCTTCATTTCTTAATAAATAGCAATATATTTTTTCAATTTGAAAAATCTTTGGTAAATCGATATTTACCATATCAAACGTAGACATACATTCTAATATTATGGGCGCCACAGTTTGCCGCGGTTTGTGGTCGTGGCTGCCGTGAAAATACCACTTCTAGCTGCGGTGTCATATCAAGAATAAGTATGTCTATGGCATAATACGCATTGGGGGCATCATTAGAAACTACATGCTTAATCTCAACTTTATATCACTTATTGTTACCGAGATATCAGCGTTCTTAGAGAATACGGCTACCGTTTTTCGATTTGTCGGCGTAAGAGTATGCGTGGCCAGAAAATGATCTTAATTGTCTTAATGACAACTCTCATATCAAAGATAGTTTAGTTTTTCGTGATTTGTGGGCGTGGCAGGATGCTCAAATAAAGTTGCACTGCTAGGAACTTCAATATTATGCAATATTAATCGAAATGATGTATCTTTTTAGTTTCTGAGATCTCAACGTTCATACGCTTATCCGGCCACGACCACTCTTACGCCCACCAAACTCGATAGATGGATTTCGCTTTTTGCAGAAAACCTGATATCTCGGTAACTATAAGTAATGGAAAGTGACATTACGCATGTAGTTTATGATGCCCCCAATGCGAATTGGTTTTTTCTATCTAGCCACGGCCACTTAAGAGCTACAAAGTTATGCTTAGAAATTTGTATTGTTAGGTCATTGTCCGGTCTTTCAATGTAAAGAGGGGAGCGGGACCCAAAAAAGCTTTTCGCTCAGGCGAATTCGGCCGCCGCTCTCCTCTCTCCATCTGTCGTGGTGTCTTCTGACCATAGCATAAGGTAATTTAAGTCGAATAAATTAGTTCACATCAAAACTTCTTTTCGTTTCGCACCGTGCCCTTTTGTCGCATTAAATTCAATTTCGAAGTCATAAATAAAAAGTCATAATAAAAATCACAAATTTAAATTAATAAAAACTTTTATTATTCACGTATTTTAGAGATGCCACTGCAACTCGACACAAGTTTTCATCTGGCCTCTCCCATTTTAACGCCCACAAGCCGCGGAAAACTGTGGCGTCAAGTAATATTACAATGAATGTCTTCGTTTGACCTTTCATACAATATTTTTGTCAATATCTATCGATTTACTAAAGATTTTGCGAATCGGAGCATTGTTTCGCTATTTATGAAGAAATTTAGAAATTTACTCAACATGTTTTTTCTGACAAAAGGTGTCGCTTTGTGAATTTCCATTAGCATTAATATTTAATAATTTAAAATTGAAACTGGTATCTTACAGTCGCGGCACTCGACTATACGGGTTCTTCTTGTTTTGAATTAGTGTGTTAGTCATTGTGTTGTAGAGCTACATATGTATATCTTCGGCTGGAAAGATTGCTCTATTATCCTAACTTGTGATTCCAAAATTTAAAGAGCCGGGCTTGAGAATTCCGTTCACATCAGATACATTGGAGAAGCATTAGTCTTCGAATAAAAACACTTAGGTCTCCTAAAAATATACAAAGCAATATTTAATTCCAATATGCCGGACGGAAGAATAAACCTCGGCAGAATGGCGTATGTACATTTTACAACGAAGCCACAACAATTGTGTGCAGCGTGGGCGTTTTTAACCGTAGTCGTAAAGTTAAGCGCATACATGGCCGCGTACATCAGCCGAGTTGAATCCGGAAGAGCAGAGGACTTTGATTTATAAGACTACATTTAGAAACTGTGGGACGGTTGCCTTTTTTGATGTTTTGTGAGTCTTGCGGACTTTGATTTATATGCTGTGACATACATATATGTCAAGCAAGTGGGCAGTTGTATGTATGAGCTACACATTCAGCGCGAAAACGTAGGAAAACAATTTATGTATAACGAGTTGCATCGCAAAAACTGGAATGCGAAATTCCAAATTGAAAATGAAAAAGCTGTGGTAGTTTGCATTGCTGGCGTAACCGAAATTGGTGCAGAGCTGAAAATAGCGTTATCGTGGTTCGTGGTTCCGCATTGTAAATTTTTCACAAAACCTCTTAAGTGAATCGAACTGATGCTTTTGAAAGATCTAAAAATGGTTGCTATCTCTTCTGAAGTATTACTTCAAGATAAATTAACATGTAGGCCGTTTCGGCCTTATATAGTCCCGAATCAGTCAGCTGCAGACTAGAAAGCTGAGATCTGCACATAACCCAGAACACAGGAAGCTAATTTGATTCACGTCAAACGTTTATGATTCATATGCTTCCGGTCTCATTAGCAGCCATCTGACGCGCTGCCATCTGACGTACGTCTCGAAACACGGGGATAAATCTGAGTGGATTAGTAAAGATACGAGGAAAGTTAGTTTTGTGCTAAATGGATTAGTATCGAAACTTTCAAAGTGTTAGGAGAAGAGTTAGAAGTAATATTATAAAGATCATTGTAGTTTGAACATATGTAGTACCCGAAATGGTTCATGTTGGGCAAAGTTCGAACTACAACGCTCTAAGGATAGAGGAATATAGTTTCTAGTAATCCTAAGGGGTACATGCATATTCAAGCGGCCTAGAAGGGTCTGGCTATCAATTTCACCCTTAAGAAGATTATGGATAAAGACGACACCAAGCATTTTCCTTCGATTAGCGAGGGATGGCAAATTAATTAGTAAGAGTCTACTTTTATAAGAGGGAAGGTGTATGCTTGCATCCCAGTTGAGACCGCGGAGAGCAAATATTAAAAAATTCTTTTGGATGGATTCAATAAGGCACTGGTGAAACCCATACTGGAGGAGGAAATATGGTCGGAAAACTTAAGTTTTGCATCGAGTAATCTCTTTATTTCTTAATCTATTTATTTCATGTAATGGGTAACGACGGGTATTATAACCCAAAAATAATAGCTTAAACTAACATATTTTCCCACAAGAAGAGGAGCTATGTATATGCAAGAGCTGCGACTATCAATTACTAACCTGCAATAACGTCACTGCTCATGAGAAGCCTAACAACCTACATTTTATTTATTTACTTACATACGTATACCTGTTTGCATAAAATTTAAATTAAAGCCATTGGTATTTGGGCTTAAGGCTGTCATAATATATATTATAATACAATGTTTCATCACATGAAGCCATCATAATCACATGAAGCCAACCCAGTAAATGAAAGCCCAGCGCAGTACCTTGTCGTCGATTACATCTCATCCGGTCAGGGCTGCTATGATAACATTTAAGTTACTCAATCACCCCGCATTTCCGCATTTTCTGTAGTGAAGGGGTTCTGCACCTACCCGGTCCAGAATAAAATACAGAACCAATTTATACTACACTTCCCAAAAAGTATGTTTCTCCTGTTCCAGTTGTTCTTATGTCGGCCCTAGAAGGACTTTTTCCGTGCAGCAATAAGTATTGCTTTATGACCTATGTATGTACTTTGTGCCATCAATAAAAACAAATTTTACTTGTTAAAATAAACTAAAATTAAACTATCTTTCTTTTATCTGCTTCGCTGTTTCAGTGGCAACTCTGCGCGATTGTAAGAAGACACTTTGGATTGTTGTGGCTACTTTCAGCAGAGAGGACATGTAAAGGTGTCATCTACTTACAATTATACATTTTTTTTTCAAAATGCATTGTTATCGGTCTGTTCGCCATTCACCACGAGAGCCGCATGGTTGCCACATCAGTAGTGACATTACTACCGTTTAAAGTTATCGATATTACATTAATATATGCACTAGAATTTTCTATTATAAGTTTTTAAATGAAAGTTTAATTCAATTTAATTTTAATTTACACATACATAATTTGTCTTGTTTAATCTTTAACTTCTTTTGATTGAAAAGTGTTTTAAATTTGAAACCAAACGGAATTTCAGACTCATTTGGATAGCGTTTCCCGAAATAACAGAGTTTGAATATCCCTAATATTGTAGTTTAACACATAAGCTAACATCTTTTAACCAAGTACTATCGTCACTTGTGCAAAAATAAGACTACAGTAGAAAAACAATATGTGTAAGCAAAAGCAGAGAAATGTTCTCCAAAAAAATCAATATCCAAACCTTTGCAGCGGCCTCGATGAACAGCAAAAGCACCCTGATGTCCTCCATAATTTCTGGACTTCTGAGCATCGTCTTATTTGCCATACTGCGCTTCTGCTCTAATTGGTTCAACGACTCGCAGCTGAAGGTCCTATTGGGCGGATACCTCTTTTCCTGGCTGTTCATCCTAAGTCTGACTTTTGTTTCCAATGCGGAGATGATTATCTTTGGCCAGGACTTCCATGCCAAGCTCCTGCCGGAGATCCTCTTCTGCCTCTCTCTTACAGTGGCTGCCGCGGGAATCGTTCATCGCGTCTGTGCCACCACCAGTATTCTTTTCTCACTTCTGGGCCTCTACTTCTTGAATAGGATCTCAACAAAGTACTATTCGGTGCAGGTGCCGACAATAGGTGCGCCTGCGGCGAAGAAGGGCGGCAAAAAGTTCAAATGAGTATATTTAAGTTCAGTCCTGGGTCATATATGCCAACTTAAACATTCGAACACCTTTATTATACTTTAATAAATAACATTATTTATAACCTATTCGCTAAAATAATAGGTCGCTTCCTGAATTGCGCCCCTATCCTATAATGGCTATTACAATAAAATTAAATTGCAGAAGTGAATTAAAAAACAAAGCAAAGATAAGCAATTCAGGTGCGGGCCTACTAACAACTATCGTGGAGGTCTACGCACGTATTGAACGAGGAGAAGCCACCAAAAATCGGCAGTGCCTTTTGTGACGTTGAGGGCGACATTGATTTAGATTTAGGGGGCAGAATATCAAGAAAACCAAGTCCAGTAAGAGTAATCATATGATCATAAATCCAAGATTCCTCCAGCTTTGCAAATTACGTGCATTTCCAGTAATGCCTAATGTACAATAAAAAGTATGTGGTTTTTCTACCTACTGCCCAGCAGCCCAGTCAAATGTTAATCAGTGGAGATGGATAATTTACAATGCGATAAACATTTTTTTATATTTTTTGTAATTTTGGCAGGATATTTATCATAAATCAACATTTTTGTTTTTAAGTATTTTTTGTATTTATATTTATTTTGTTTTTAGTAAAGATAGTTTTTATCTACTAGTTCATTATTTTACTTATTGCTGCCTTGGGGGCAGCTTTTCAAGTTGCAGCTACTTATGTAGCGCTTGTGGCACTTAGTTGGTTGGCAGTACAACCTGGTAGGCGAGTGAGGCTGCGGGCGCCATCTGTCTGTCAAGCCCGGAAAAAAGAGAGGGACAGTTTTCGGAAAGAAAGTGGCAACAGTGGCATCTGTTAGTGGGCGGGACGGAAGTCGGATTTGGCAAGGAGAGCGAAGATATCTTCTCGCCGGAGTCTCCAAGGAGCCGCTGTTCTTTTGTTTTCTGGCTGTCATCGTGTTCAGGTCGATTTGTCACTGAGGGTCGCTCAGGTGGTCTCAAGAGCAATTTGAGAATGAATATTGGGAGCAGCGCTAGATCCGCCAGGGTAAGCCGCAAGTGCAAAGAGTGCAGTCATGTGTAGTGCTACCAAATTTTATCTTTTTTAATAGGTTTGTCGTTAAACCCAAGATAAATTCTAGGCTTAGACCCAAACTAAATTCGGGGCTTAAGTCCAAGCATCTCCAAGTCTCACAAAGATTCCCATCTCAGATCGACGCATCTACTCGATAAATAAAATTGTTGACGCTGAGCCCCTCTGAATTCCCACTAAACCGCAACTTCTAACTATTTATGACAAGGCCAACCTTATCTGGCCTTTGGCTAAGGTCCGAATGGTTACTTCTTGGCTTGGAGATTCTCAGCTCCCTTTCAATTGAATCAATTGGGACATTTATTGGGACATCTTATAGTCGCGGCACATCTCGAACCAAAGTGTTTCGGGTGTCTGGTGCAACAGAATAAGACCACATACGAAATTATCAGTACAAGGCAACCACCCTTATTTTAGGGTGCGGATCACACTCTAAATGCCGTAAACGCATTTTCGAAATACACCTCTAGTTGTGAGGTCTCTATCTCTGTTGGTTTCATATACATACATCTCCGTTGTTTCAGAAGATCTTGAAACAAAGAAGCTTGTGACCCATTCTAGCGGACGTCGGAAGCGATACTATATTTTGGGATTTGGGTTGTTTATTGGGTTATAAGTAAGCAGATATAAAAAAAATTAGAGTTTAATCTTAATCACGAAAAAAACTACTACCTAATAGGCAAAAAACGTCTGGCATTCCATGTTTGATAAAACTTAAGTTGCCATAAGCTCAACGAACTATTTTTTAATATAACTTCTAATGTAGTTAAGTGGTGGTACATTTAAGCAGGCAGGATTACTGATACAAATAAAATAAATAGGATTACTATTTCTGTAAGCCGTTTTGTATCATATTAAACTTTTTTATAGCTTCACTAACATAGTCTTCCTTTTCAGCCAACGCACATTTAAGCTGCACGCGCAATTGTTGAAGATTGGGCATGGTGCGACAGTCTCTAATGTTAATCAGTGTTCGAAAGATGTTCTCCCAGAGTTGCCGCTGAAAATAACGGGGTATCGTTGTCTTCGGCATCCAAAAGGTGCTCGGAGCTCGCAGTGCCACTTCCATATAGCGACCGAATAGCAGCACATGTATGACGCCCACAAGACCAAACAAATCTAACTGGTATGTCCATGGGCGGTGGGTACGCATTTCAATGCATTTAAACAGATCATCTTGATGGACATAATTGAATGACTGATTGTTCGGGAAGATCTTGGTGTCAATGGACACTCCGAAATCAATGAGCTGCAGACTGATATCGTTGGGATCTGTACATAACCTGAAAAACAAGAAGCAAATTTGATTCATCTCAAATATTCATGATTCATATACATACGGTCTCATTAGCAGAAAGTTATCCGGCTTGATGTCAGCATGGATGATACCCAATGCGTGCAGGTGATCGAGAATATCGAGCATCTGGCAGCTCAAATGCATTACTACATACTCGTCCAGATTTCTGTTGGTTACACTCTTAAACTTGTTGCATACACCGATCAATGAACCATATTCTGAAAACTCCGAGATATACACACTGGAATTGTTGCCCACTAACGCGTAATCAATATTTGCGTAAGCTGGAATCTATAAAAATGTTTATTTCGTGATTTAATAAAAATTATTTTATAATTATATATGATTATTAGCAATAGTCACAAGTCAATGAAATTCATATTTAAATTACGACTCATAAATTACAAAAATATTTATACCCATACAAAATCTCTGTCAGTCGCAGTGAATGGGACAGCAACAACAAAGTTGATATTCATATGACAGCCCTTCCGTGCCAACACAAGGCACATTCTCAGTCTTAAGAATACTAATATTTATTGCACGTACTCAAATATCTTTCTTGCTAAAAAAAAGTGTTGATCCCGCTCGACATATTGCGTATTTGATATATAACATATTTTGAAATGTTTATAAAAAGATACAACTTTTCACTTACCATTTTCTCGCTGATTAAGCGGCTATGGATCTCCAAACATATATAAAACTCCCAGTAGTTGGTTGGTCGTTCCTGTTTAAGAGCTACTTTCTTGCCAGATTTAAGATGCTCTCCCACATAAACTGAGCCGTAAGCTCCCTTGCCTATCATCTTCAACACCTCAAACTTCTCATTATTTACCTCCAGCTTAGAGTTAGGATGCAGGCGCTTGACATGACCCACCAGATGACAATAGGGCAGCTTTTCGATGTACATGGAAAAGTCAATTGAATCCAGCAGCGAGCTAAGAAGTTCCTTTTTGAAAGGGTTTTTATTGGCGTCAGCCATCGTATCATTCATAATAGAAAAATCGCCGGTCGACTTGGGGTGGACATAATCTTCCAGCAGATGAGTTTCCGAATCAGACTGCGACCAAGAGCGATGGGACTGCTTCGGTGTTAGTGGTGTTTCCTTGTAGTAAATGCTTAATTCGGCCTCCTCAGCTTTTATTGCAGGAGACTTTAACTCTGCAGTCGGAATCAGCAGGGTGGAATTTTTAATCATACTAATGTTGGTGGCAAACATCTCAGTGGCTGCGTTTAGCTCAAAAAAGTCATCAGATTCTTTTGAACCATCTTGGTTTTCATTTGGTGAAACATTTTTACTGTATACTAACATAGGATCGTTGGAATACGAAAGCTCGGTCAAAGTTTTAATAGGGTTGATTGTGGCAATTGAAATTGGCATCGGTGGGATACAGCTGCTTATTTCTGAGCAATCCTTCATAAACGAGGCAATCATATGCGATTGCCCAAAAGATTCCTGCTTGTTCCCTTGCTCCTTATATTTTGGCTGCAGTGTTTCCGGCAGGGTGCACTCCAAGGCAAGGCTCGAGACAACTGAAGTAACTACTTCTGGAGCACTCTTTTCTGGCTGTGAATCGTCAAGAAATATTTCAAACTTCTGCATGGCCAGGGTGCCCATCTCGTCTTGTGTGCCACTCATCGACTTAAAAAAATCGGGTCTGGTAAGACCAGAAGACTTTACCTTAGGCGGCGTCTTTCCAAACAATCCACACAAGTCGGTTGCATCATCCAGAGAATTTTGAACAGCTATTGAGCGTGGAAGCAAAGAATCGTCCGGCAGAGCGGGTATTCGTGGAAGCGTTTCGGTTTTATCTTCTTGAAAGCAGATAAGGGGCCTAGGAATAGTTTCTGTCTTATCCTCTTGGAAACGCAGAGACTTTAGCATCGGCAAGCTAGGGGCATTGGGTTCCCATAACTCACGACGGAAAAAGTTGTCGCCACCCTGTTTTTCCGACTCAGCAACGCATTCCGGTAGTCCCAAACCAACCAGGTGCCGCAGGCGCATTTGCCCAGGAGAGCACTCTTCATTCTTGTTGGTTGCTTTCGAAACAGTGCTGGACCCGGGCGACGACGAAGAGGTAACGGTCGACTTAGTGTTAGCAACGCTTGCCGCCAAGCTTTGAGTGCCGTGTTCAGAGGTCTCCAAAATGGTGGAAAGCTGCTTCCGCAACGTTGGTGAACACGGAGACTCAACGAAGGGAACAAAAGCTGCTTCTTCTGGTTGCTGTATATCTTTTAGCACTGTTCCAAATGTGCGTAACGATGCTTGCTTTTGTATGCCCTTGGGCGTGCTGACAGCCTGCGACTTTATAAACATATTAAACATTTGCGTAGAGCAAGTTTCGTCCCCGTCAGAAAATATACCGTTATTCAATGGCTTTGCTTTTGGTTCCGGATTTTCTAAGTCTTCATAGATATCTATTTTCCGTTCAGGTGGAGCTGGTACCGCAAATTGAGCATCCGTGCAGGCCATTGAGTCCTCATTTAATTGCACAGAAACCGTCTTGGGTATCACAAGCGGCGGCGGCGAATTTTCTCTCGATAACAATGGCGCTTCTGCCTCCTTTTCTTTCTGCTCCTGCACAGAGGGAAACATGGATTTCCTGGAGGAAGACGAGAAAAAACTTTTGCGGCGAGGCATCTTGCTTCCGGGCAAGCAGACAGTTTCTTCCATGTCGTAATCGCCATGAACTGTCACATTTCGATTTTGCAGCCTTTTGGCTGCCAGCAGCTCCTCTGGTTGGTATTCCTGTTTCTCTTCATCGTTGTAGACCATGTCAAAAACGACATGGAGGCCAGGTACGAGTGGGGGCTTCCAAAACTTGTCTAGCTCGTCACGTGGCTGTGGCTTAGAAACATTGGCAAAGTTTGGGTAACATCGAATTCCTCTGAGCACACTTCCAGTTCCCCACCACTCCTCGTTGCTCTGGACAAAAGGATGTTGTGGATTGCGGCGTTTCAGGTAGGCGTGGGCGCGGTACTCTTCAGGAGAGAACTCCAAGTTGGGTCGAGGATAGAGAAGACACTTATTGTAGAAAGGGAGTCCATTTGCATTTGGCTCATCTTCAATTGTAACTGGCGTAACCCATGCTTCCTGACGCTTGTTCTTGGCAACAAAATTTGGAGGAAATCTGAAGGGCTGATCCAGACGACGATCATAGTTGGTGATGGGGGGCATCGCTTGTACATCCACGTGTATGTCAAAACCAAAGTCCGGAGAGGCATTACTGCCAAAAATTTTTCCACGCTTGTGGCCTCTCTTGTTTGCTTTGTTCCAGGCCACCGATTCTTTCATGTTCTCCTGGCCGCGAGCTGCGTCGATAATAGAACGCAGGCTAGATTTTGCATCCGTCTGGACCACAGGCAGTCGTATATCTGCTTGAGCATTTTCGTCGTTAAACACTTCGACATTCCTACCGTCGTTTAGCTTATCGGTAGTGATTGTATCATTAGTCTAAAGGATGGATAACATGAAGTTGATTTATTTTTAATGGGGTTATTAAACTTACTTTTCTTATAATTATATTTTCTTATCCGATTTATAACCCTTATCCGGAATTCATCAACGAACATGTTAAACAACTGATTTTAAGACAATTTTTTTAGCTTGTCTGTTCTTTTTTGTATCTAAACAAACCCATAGTTTCTAAGGAAGCTAATAATTAAATATGTTAAATATGTTTACCTTTAATACTGCGCCTACATTTTTTAAAGCTGCTAGTCACTTTATATATAAAAAAAAAGCCATCCTCATTTTGTCAGGATTAACAAACACCCAAAAAATAACTTGTCTCTGAGCTGAAAAGCTCTTTGTCCCAAAATAGTTAAATTAATTAATGTTCGAGATCCGTTTAAATAGAAGAGCGAGAGAGTTTAAGTTAGATTGTCCTTACAGCTAACAGTAATATTTTGTTGGTAGAAAAAACGTTCTACACTTTTTTTATATACCTATTGAAAACTCAGACTATTTTTTCTAAAATCCCTTTAATGCCCAAAATAAAAATTTTAAATAGATAGATTTATAACACCCACCTGGACCACGCCCGGTAAGCCGCTTTTGACCGCTGCTCCGGTACGAATACTTCCTACAGTAATGGTATTAGAGTTTTCTTGGAGTCGACCGTGTAGCGACTGCAGCGCCAGCCGTCGCTCGTTGAGCTCCCGGTTAACAGCTTTAGCCTCCTCGCCAGTTGTGTAAAGCATGCGTTGACCCACAGTATAGCCAAAGTGCTGGTGCGCTTCTTTCAGATCCATTAGTGGTTCAGCACGGCATTCAAGCCCGAGACGGAAAATCTCGTCGGCCTTGCGCATGTTACCGCTCAGATCATAGCTGTAAGCCCAGGCAATATAAAAATCTGCTAGCATGGTTCCGATTCCATTGTTGTACATCTGCTGATAAAACTCTATTTTATCTTTCTGCTTCTCCATCTAAATAGCGAGGAGATATAATGGGTGGGTGAGCCGACAACACTCTTAAATAGAATTACACTTACAAATTTTATAAACAGCTTGATAAGCCGCTTGTCTTGTCGGTAGCGCTCGTCATCTTCGAATTGGGTAAGGCACTGGTGAAGTGCCGCCTGTAGGCCGGAGTTACTGCCACCTGCCGGATAACTTTGCTCGATCCAGCAGATATACTTGTACCAGGCCCCGAGAGGATCTTCGCCCGCGTAGGTGCGCACCTCATTCTCCATTTCTCTGCGATGCGCTAGCAGCTCCTGGCCATGGGCGGAGTCCTGACTAAGCGAGGCCTGTAGTAGACTCACATTGCGACCACAAGCCAATGGCTGGATGTTCTCTTTCGCCTTGTCAAAGTCCATCTTGGTGTCGTTGTACACGTTTTTTAACTCGCTACTTTTTTGTATTATTGAAACAGTTAGTTTAAACAGAAGGAAGCGGGAAAGAAATTATAGAGATGGAAGAAGTGATCGACATGAAATTGCGATATGTGCATTACTAGTTTACCGATATTTCGTTTAAAGACCAGTTCTCACCGTGCAAAACAGCCAAAGGAGTGTAGAGCTGTTAAAAATAAATTTAATACATAATATATTATAATTTATTTTAAATACAAAAATAATACTTGATATATAATTTAATATAAATTTGAAATTGAAATTGAATTGAAATCATAAATAACACACTATCTGTTTCAGATAAAATAAGGAGCTATTTTTTTATTCTCTGGTTAAATTATCCCTAAGCCAAGCTAAGTTTTGCAATATTTTCTTTTTATTGGGTTTTTAGGTTCGGGAATCGCTAACCATACATTTGTCTTCCAAATAATTTCATAATAAGTTGGAAATAATTTTTTGAAGGCCTTCCGATTCTTTTAAAAACATTGAGATGTTAGGAACTATAAGACATAAAGTTTGAACTAAGCAAGCATATGCCAGAGATGCCACCGCATGTGAGACCCACAAAACACTAAAAACTAAAAAGGGCTGAGAGCTTTATGATAGAAACTAAGATTCAGCACGTACCTCAAAGATCTGTTTGCACAAAAAATTAAACTATATATTTATACCAGTTAATCGTAGAGTAAAAGTGTACATTAAATTCGTTGAAAAGTATTGCAAGTAGTACAAGAAAGCGTTTCCGACCCTATAAAGCAGGCGTACTCAAAATCGTTTTACGGCAGAACATTTACTAACACAGATACAAGAAAGCACATATTTAGTGACGTTTTTATGTTGGTTTGCCGCTGTCCACTGAGAGTAAAATATCATCACTCATTTTACTGACCCGCCAAATGCGAAATATATACTCTAAATTGCAAGCAGAAGCTATAAGGAATGAATTGCAGTGCAAGTGTTCAAAGATGTTCCCGAAAGAAACAAAAACAAAATATATTGCGTTTGGTGACGGAAAAGAAAAAAGAAAGAAGAAAACGACAAATCGCCGCAAGCGCTCCAAGCTGTATGTGCGAGAAAGTAGGGGCTCCGAACATTTACAAAAACAAATGAGAATTCAGAGCATAGGCGGTGAGCATCCCTGCTATAAAGTATATGTACATATATGTATATTCTTGATCAGGATCAATAGCCTATTCTATTAAGCCATGTCCGTCTGTCCGTATAAACGCTGAGATCTCAGGAACACAAAGTTTAGATTAAGAATTAAGTGTGGCCGGACAAAGATACCACCGTGAGATGCGTTGGCATCTCAAGGTGTGATTTGTGTGAGCTAGAGTGGGCGTGGCAGGATGCTGAAATAAACTGCGCTGTGTATGGACCTCAAGGATCTGCATGCTTAATCACAACTTTGCATCTCTTATAGTTCCTGAGATCTCAGCGTTCATACTGACAGATGGACATGGCTCAATCGCCTTCGCTGTTGATACTGATCAAGATTATATATACTTTATAGGTTCGGAAACGCTTCCTTCTACCTGTTACATACTTTTCAACGAATCTAATATAGGTCCCCAGGGTATCCTACGGCACAAGTACTCCTCATTGGGTATTTTTCTGCTTTCGCCTAATGCATTGAAATACAATTTTATTTTGCTGGTCAGCCAGCCGTAGGACTCTTCTGATGACGCCATATTCTGTGAGGAAACCAATATAATGTGTTTATTTTAAGGATGGCCCATTCAGAGTTTACTAGAAGGATATAACAGCACTGGGAAATAAACATATTATTTCTGTTATCCAATTTACAAAATTTTAATAAGTGTACTCAATGGTGTATCATCACTTATAGAACTTTTTAAATTTTTATACTCGCTATTCATAGAGAAAAAGGGTTTATTGTATTCTTTGAAAAGTATGTAACAGATAGAATAAATGTTTCCGACTCCATAAAGTATATTTATATATAATATATTTTTGATCAATAGCCAAGTCCGTCTGTCCGTATGAACTCAGAGACCTCAGGAACTGTAAGAACAAAAATGTTTGGATTAAGCATGTATAATTTTAGTAAAGCATACGCTCACCAAGCTCGAAAAACGTTTTTCTTTTTTGTAGATACGCTGCAGCAGCATAACGTGTTTGATATACATGGTTATAAGGTCTCACATGGGCAGTAACTTCACCATCAGCTAGAAACATGTTTTTTTGACAAAAGGTCAATGTCATCCATGTCCGGTATCAAAATAAATATTTTAAAATTGTATAGAACAGTATACTCTTTTGTAAATTTTAATAAACGAGAGATGACATCAGTGGCTGAATAAGTCACAAGTGGATACACATATGTATCTTACTTAAATTCTGCGTTAACAATCCCAATTTTCCAATAAAATTGAATTTATTACACATTAATTTTGTCATTATTTTCCGCACCAATATTTACTTTCACAGTTGTTTTAATATTTGTCCTTTATTTTTGTTATAGTGTACTATAGTATATATGTATGGTCTATGGTCAATAAAGAGATTTCCGTGTTTTTTATGTATAAACTGACAAAGTCAAAGCAGAATACCGGTTAATATTCATTAAAAGCGACCCCAGCTGCCTGATTGGTTTCCACCTACGAAATTTCCGCCAGAGTTTTCAAAGCCACCTGATCCTCTATTGTTTCTAAAACTCCCGCTACCAATATTCCCCAATCCACCTCTGTTTCCGAAGTCCCCTCCTCGGTTGTTTCCATATCCACCTCCGGCGCTAAATCCATAGCCCAGAGCTCCACCCCCGCCAAAGCTGTTTCCCCTGTTTCCATAACCTCCAAAATCGTTATCAAAACGTCTACCAGCGCCGTAGCCACCGAATCGACCTCGCTTGGCCGCTCCACCGCCGGTGTTGAACTGGCGAGCCTGGTACGGAAGAATTCCAGAGTCGCGCTGTAGCTTAAAATCGCCGGCACTCTTGACACAAAGGTTCTTTACCACCGCGACCAGTTTGGCATAAGGCTCCTCCAGCTGAAGTATGTCGGCTGGCCGGTCACACGCGACCGTGATGAGATCCTCTAGTGCTGGCTTCAGGGCCCCAACTTTTGCTGCAATTTCCGGTTCCATTTCGAAATTAACCCAATTATCAACGCGCACGATATTGTTGGCGGCCAAATCAATTTTGCGCGATCCGAACAACATTACTTGCAATGGCGTGACCATAGATAGTTGCTTGCAGGATACTGCTCGAGTGCGGATCTTTTCGCCAAAAACGAAGAAAGGATACGGAAAGGTGACGGCCAAGTTGCTGCAGTTCACAGAGGTCTTGTGAAGCAGCGCTGCTTTGGACTCAGTAGTTAGCACCTTACGCTTCTCCTTGTGCACACAAATGTTGGGGTAAAGGCCAAGACAAAGCAGGGCCAGCGACACGTCAAGCTCCGGGTCATCGCCAGTAGCATCTGCTTCCACATGGTGCGATATCATGCACTCTTCTGGGAATCCGGCCTGCTGAAGTAGATCGAGCAATTGTTGCTTCGCATCCCACATGACGTTCATAGTACTCATTTGCAGACCCTTTCTCTCGCAGAACCGGGCCTCCTCGTGCTCACCGCGTTGCTTGGCACGCTGCCACATTTGTGAGGCTACGATCATAGCCACGTGATCGGAACACTTGCTTCCGCTTAACGCCTTCTGATGATTAGCGAGGCGACGTTGGCCCATATCCAGGCTGAACACCTCGGAAAAAGTGCTTGAGTAGGATGCCATGCTGGCCACTAGATCAGCACAGCCGAACACTGCTCCGAGCACCATCATCTTTCCCAGTTTTGGTTCGATTGGCAGGCGTGCCAGCAGACGACCCAATGGGGTAAGTTCGTCGTTAACGTCTAGACAGCGCATCTCTCGCAAAAGGACCTCAGCTTCTATGACGGCGTCAACTGGCGGTGGTTCTAGTGCCTTAGACAGGAAATGATGAATAGCGCCCAAACGAAGCAATTTAATGGTGAGAGCTATCTCGTGCAGAGGCGTGCGGAACATCTCTGGCGTAAGGGTATCCTCGAGTGCTTCGAACCGGGCGCGTGAACAGAGAGTAAAGCAGAAGCCCGGCCGAACTCGTCCAGCTCGACCCTTCCGTTGCTCCAGATTAGTTTTGCTGGCCCATACGGTAGCGTAGCTGGTTAGATTGTTATGTGAAGTAAAGAGCTTCATACGCGCCTTGCAAATGTCAATAACAAAGACTATGTCGTCGATAGTTATAGATGTCTCGGCAATGTTTGTGGATAGAATTATCTTTGTTACACCTCCTGGCACAGGCTCGAACACCTTGCGTTGTTCGTCCCGAGGAATTTGGGAGTGGCACGGCAAAATACGGTACTGGGCTGAATTACCAAAAGTATTTGTACTTTGTAAGAACTTCATCAGCGCAAAAATTAAATTCCATCCTGGAAGGAATACCAGGATGGCGCCGGGAATGTTCTTTGACTTAATGTGCAGTAACAATGCCTCCAGAAGCTCGAAGTTAACGTCCGATTCGGAGAGCATGGCCATTGCGTTTCGAGTCTTTTGTGAATACTTGTCCTCGCACACCTTGTTAAAGTTCGTCTCAGCCTCTTCCTTGTCCTCAGATAGTTGTAGGTGCTCGTCATCATCTGCCTCCTTGCGTTTGCGCCTCGATTCTATTGATGGCACAAAGTCTGTCATCTGTAGAACGTCCTCCAAGAAGTATTGCTGCACGGAGAAAGCCCTGCCAGGCACTTCCAATACTGGACAGCCACCAAAATACTTAGAAAACAGCGTAGTGTCAATTGTTGCCGACATAAGAACAACTGAAAAAGGAGAAAGGAACTGTTAGGAAAGGGAAGTTTACATTTTTTTATGTATTTTATTCCTGACAAGAACCACAGTTATTACATTAAACAAAAGTTTGCTTGTTTAGTCCAAGCTTTCTAGCTCTTCTAGCTCTTCTTTCCAAAGTCGAAGCCTTCTTACCCACAAAACTACATGGCTAAATCGATTCAGCTTCTGATCCTGATTATAAATATATTTAGAATATGGTCGAAACTATTTCTTTTATCTGTTACGTTCTTCCAAAGATTGTATTACACTCCCTTTATTCTACGAGTAAGCAAAATACTTAAAAACTAAATGTGATGCAAAAAATTGATTGTTTATAATTAATACTACGTTATTTAGCAAACACGTAATCGTAAAGCAGTGTGTAATGCTTCTAATAATTCTTATTTTCTTTTTTCTATCTCAACAAAAAAAAAATTGACAAAATCTTACTGTGCAGATCCGGGTAGGTGTCCACCATGTCGCGAAGAATTACCAGCAAAAAGTCACTGTTCACATCTCTTTCATGAATCTCGTCAACTATGATGTGCGAAACTCCCCTGAGGCCTGCCTCCAACTTACGCAGTAGAACGCCCACTGTGCAAAAGAGTATAGCTCCATACGGCCGTGGAAAAACAGATTCAAATCGCACAGAGTAACCCACTGTGTCGCCTAACTGTTCGCAACGCTCGCGGGCTACGCGCTCCGCTACAGAAATTGCCGAAATGCGGCGAGGTTGAGTCACGTAAATGTTAGCATAGCCGCCCTGACCAGATGAGATGTAATCGTCGAGAATGTACTGCGCTATCTGGGTGGTCTTGCCGCAGCCTGTGTTGCCACGAATGATTATTACTGGGTTTTCATTTACAGCGCAAAGAATCTCAGATCGCATGGCAGCAATGGGCAGCTTGTCGCGAAAATCGAGAAATTGTCGATACTCGGCGTCGTTTTGGCGGCGCTCTCGCTGAATGCGTTCAAATTCCATAGAGAGGTCATCAATAGAGGCTGTAGCCAATTCGCCTTCATCAATGTTGCAGGCATGCCAGGTGTTCCAGTTGGGTTGAGGGGGAGCCCACGGAATAACTGAGCTTTCCGGACGCTTTTCAACTTCTTGTTGCAATAAATCAATACGGTTTACATTAACCTAGAAAAAAAGGGTTGTTATAAATAAACAAATGTTAGAAATAACAAAAATTCAACTTCATTAGTCATCCCTTACAATAGCAATTCAATGGTAATGGCGATACACATGAATACAGCGTAAATAACAGCTGCAAATAACTTACGATAAGAGGTATGGGAGCGCCATCTGGCTCGATTTTGATATTACGAGGGGTTACGACAGGAAGGTCCAGCACCTGGATCACCTCATCAATTTTGTTGATCAGCTCGGGATCTAGGTTCACCGGATATGGCTTTAGCTCCTCATCCTTCTTCTTCTTTAGGGTTCCGCTGAAGGGCTCGATCACCTTCAAATGGAAGAGTTGGCGGACCAGAGACAAAGCGCACGATTTGCTGGCCGACTTCTTGTTGGAACCCGTCTCGCGGGCCGTCACCTTTCGCTTGAGCGCCGCCACGTAAATCGACAGCTCAGCCATGAAACTCCTAGATTGACAAAGTTTTTTGAGCAAGTACACTACCGACAAGGGGCAAAGATCCGTGACTTACCGATAAGCTTTTTGGGCAACCACTCATTCATACATCGAAGGATAAACCAGCTGGCAGAGTGATGTGGTACTAATGTGGAAGACGCAGCCGGCAAGCCAGCGCTTGGGTTGTTGCCACCTACGCAGCCTTTCATGAGCATCCGATTTGCTCACAGACCTCATGCAAAGTAGCTAGACGTTTTTGTAGTTTTTTAGTGTATCCGTACCACATCACTCTGCTCGCCCAGCTCCCAACGGATCGCGTACTGTTCTTTAAGTATTTCGAACTGCATTTAAGATTTGGGCGTATGACTATTTCGCACAAATCCGAAATGCAAGCTCATAATAATAAACTTACCGGGCATGGTCCGGACCAACTGGGGTATATTTGTAATCGTCACGAATGTTGTTTGCTTGCTTGTACATGTTAAGACGATCTTTGGCATTCTCTATAGTCCAGTTGCCGTGGATAGCGGCGTTGACATCAATGGACTCAGCCTCATTCATGTCCTTCTGCTCCTGGACATGGTCGATTATGTTAAACCGGCTTCCGCTGCTTTTGTCTACGTGGTTCAGGGGACGGTAGGCTTCGCCCAGATCCTGCGGACCAGATTGCCCACCAAAAACTCGCTTTTGGTATCCATCGCTCGCGGCCACTGCCTCACCTTGCGAGGCGGTTTTGGGAGTCGTCCCTACTGAAGTACCTATATCTGCCGGAACATCCTGAGCATTTAACTTGCCCACGCGCACAAGGTAGTTGACAAAGTCACGACATGCGTTCTTTTCGGCATCCCTCTTATTCGTAGAATTACCGACACCGATATAGCTGTTCTGATCCACACGCACTTCACAAAGGAAGCGCTGACGATTCTTGGGACCTGAATAATTTAGTTGGTACCATAAATTGAGAAGAAATTAAATAAGAGACCTTACCCGTTTGGCGAATGTCAAACTTTGGTTCTATACGCGACTTGGCGCAATATTCGAACAAAAAGGATTTTATATCCATATTCAAACTTCTAAATTATAATTGAAACTGTCAAGCTCAAATTACAATTTTCTACCTTTTCGATATCGATAAGTGTGATTGGGGGAAGAATAAAATGCCGAAAGCAAACTTTTAACGCATTTTTGGTATATACATTCGGTATAAGTATGTATGTCTGAAAACCAAACTAATTTTGATCTACATGTATGTTAAAAATAAAAATGTTATATCCTATTAAAACATTTTTTGGTTCTTACGTTATTAATCGGGTTTCAGAAGAATTCAATATGGTTTAAAACATCAGTCTTTCCCAATAAAAATATATTATTACGTCATGACTAAATCAGTTTAAAGAAATGCATCAAAATATTTTCTTGTCTTTTAGTGTTGTTGTCGTTAACAGTACTAATAGATAGTCTTTCAATATTTATTGTGTGAACGAGGCCTTAAGACAGTATTTTAGTATATCTACCGAGTATTTTTTTTCAACATAATAACCTCGGCCACACTGTATCTGTGCAACGCGATGGGAAAAGAGGGCGATAACTGAGTTAAAAATGTAAACGCGTATGTCAGACCAACTGATTAATAGTAAACGCGCGAGTTACTCTTTTCATCGCAGATTTCGAACTCATTTCGCGTTTTCCGTTACCGTCATCCTGGACTTGTTTTTGTTTGCCAGCAGCCCAGCATCACACTACACCCACACTTCTCACACTCACACGAGCGAATATAGATAAACGTGAGAGAACACTCACACACGCACACAAAGGCACACTTTTAGTCGTGGACAAGCATTTAATTTAGTTACTGCTCAGTAAAACAGAGAGTAGAGCAAAAACGAGACAGCAACTTGCACAAATTGAAGTCAGAGAGGATCGGGATCGAGTGAGAGCGGCGATTAGTGCCAACACCCAAGCGCCGATCTCGCAGCCCCAAACATTAAACAAACAGTGAAAGTAACAGTAAACGCAGTCGTTGCATTTTGGCTTCCATTGGTTGCATTTAGTTCTCGGATTCGGGAGCACCACTAGTACTTCTACTTATACGACAATGGGAAACTGTCTCACCACACAGAAGGGCGAGCCCGACAAGCCCGCCGATCGCATCAAGCTGGACGACCCGCCCACAATTGGTGTAGGCGTCGGGGTACCTCAAATCCCCATGCCCTCTCATGCCGGACAGCCGCAGGAGCAAATTCGACCAGTTCCCCAGATCCCGGAAAGCGATACAGCCAGCGCCAACGCCAAGATATTTGTCGCCCTCTACGACTATGACGCCCGTACCGACGAGGATTTGAGCTTCCGGAAGGGAGAGCATCTAGAGATATTGAATGACACACAGGTGAGTGTTACTACTTTTGGCACACGTCTTACTAGCAAATATAAATGTTTCGTTTACGTTTCTTATTTGTCAATAACTAGGCAGGTGCAAGAACCTATTTCGCTTTGTTGTAAGGCCGTGTTTGATCAAACCCCGTATGAGCAATGACTTAGACATTTAAACATACACCAAAAAAACTGAAATCTAAATAAACCCACACTTGTAGATACTTACATATCTGGCAACGCTGATCTAATTTGAATACCTAGCAGTACGTTAGTTACTAACAAATAACTATTTATTTCAAATAACTCGGGAATAAACACAATATGAGTATGTGAACATGCGGAAAGATGAGCTATGTTGTGGTTTGAGCGAAAGAATGTGGGAGAGAGTGCCTGATAAAGAGTGCAAAACGCTTGATAACGGCGCTTGTCGTATTTTCGCCTACTTGCTGTTGATATTGTTATGGAAATACTCATAGGGCTATTCTCAGCAATATCTTCAATAATAAACTTGATAACGATAATGAGAATGATATCTGATTAATCTATTTATGATATTTACTTATTACTAAAGAAATCATCTTCCTCTGTTACTATTTTATCATTCCTTAAAAAGGATTTATCTGTTCTTATCTCTAATTTGGTCAATCAATATAAAAATTGTAAACTAAAATGTGTTATACAGATAGATAGTAAATTCGTATTATGTTTGATTTTTCCAATTCAGGCATTGAGAAAGAAGGTAGGAACATAACGTGAGGTACATCTTTTTGAGAGCTAAAAAATAACGTTCTATTAAGTAACCGTCTATAGTAGTAAACGTCTCTGTATTTCGTATATCTTTACTGGCAGTTTCTCTTGTTCATAATTGAAAACTTTTTCATTATGGCCTTTAACAATTGGCGTGTGTTTAAATTGCTCAATTCACTGAACGCGAAAAGCGACTCATGCAATGTATTATTGTGGACGGGAGTTATATATAAACAGTTTGATATTTGAAACTGATGCGCATTCAATTTGAAAGTTAAAGTGAAGTTTAGTTATAAATTATTTCTATTTCTATGTTAATTTTTATGGAAGGGTTCATTGTTTTTTTAAAATAAACTATAAGAAAATAGGGTATACTTGTTTTAAATACGCTGTGCAAATACATCAAGTTGGTCTAACCATGTCTGTTAGATTGATTGATTTAGCACCCTGGCGCTGTCCGTGTAGCTCAACAGTATGTTAAAATAGGCCAAAAGTAGGGTTTTGTACCGAAATGTAATTTTTCCAATACTCATTGACCTGAGAAATAATTTTCAAAACAGGCCATTATTTATGAAGTTTAAAAAAATTAAATGACGTCAATGCCAGTTAAGAAATATGAAATTATATAGTGACATTTGTAATGATGGACTGACGTTTGTTTAAACAGTGCCTGATATCATTATCTTTTATGGAAAATCTTTTATGCCACTTAATTTCGAGCAGTTCGGATTTACTATATATATATGTATATACATTATTTGCTGCTACCACTTTCTCCCGGCAAAGATGAGTCATGCTAAACGAACTGTCCAATGTTCTCTGTCCAATTGTCTCTCTTTGCTTAATAATTTAAAATCAAACGCCTTAATTGCGGGCGACGGTTGTACTTGCAATTTGAACCAGCTTGAATACAGCAGCAAAAGAACACCGAACTGCAACCAAGAAATATTATTTGTTTATTGCACTTACATGTAGTGAGTAACTCGTAATAAAAAAAACACACAAAAACGTAATTTTTGTGCACTTTATTTCCAGAGAGATTTAAACCATTTTAAAGTAGCAATTATTACAAATAAATTTTTATACCCGTTACTCGTAGAGTAAAAGGGCATTTTAGATTCGTTGATAATTATGTAACAGGTAGAAAGAAGCATTTCCCGTCCTTTAAAGTATATATGTTCTTGATCAGTAACAATAGCGAAGTCGATTGAGCCATGTCCGTCTGCCCGTTCGTATGAACGCTGAGATTTCAGAAACTATAAGAGATACAAAGTTGAGATTAAGCACGAAGATTCTTGAGGTCCCTACGCAGCGCAAGAGTATTTCAGCATCCTGTCACGCCCACAAATCACAAAAACTAAAATCGCTGAATCTGAGGAACTATCAGAGCTAGAAAGTTGAGATTAAGTATGTATGCAAAATGAATATTTTCAAACTGTGTAAAACATTAAAGAGTATCTTATAGTCGCGGCACTCGACTAAAGCGTTACATCTTGTTTTACTTTATTTTTATTGGCTCTGATGAAGCTGTTTATACACTGTTACGACGGCAGAGCATTCAACTACTGGGAATAAAGTTTAGATAATTTTACTTATAAAAATAAATCTATAATTAGCAATTGGAGGTCACCAACCACAGCAACACTCATTCTAGCTAACCATGTTGTGACATATTGGTCGCTCAAAAAATTGTATATAAAACTTTACGTCAACATAGCCGCGAACACCTCTCAGGGGCAGACGGCACTAAAAGAATGACGTTCCTTATTGGCAATGGGCCAAAAGTTGCGCTCTCTCCGCGCGATAAAATCATGTTGGTTTTTTGAATTAAGCGTTTAGCGCAAGTGTTCTATAACATTGTAGGGCCAATTCGAGGTGCATCTTTAAGCTTCTCGCCTTCTGGCTGGCATTTCCGGTGAAGCAGTGGCTAATTAATGTACAACACAATCAACCGCAAAACTTTCGACCGAACAAACAACAGTGAAGTGTATTTTGTGGACATAACCACGCTACCGCTTCCTTTTGTGGACGCGACTATTTGTCTCTCGCTTACTATAGTGAAGCCTTAAGCCGAGCCCAAAGCATATAAATCAAAATTGTATGAGTTATAATAAAAATATTTTATAGGCGGTGGGTAAGGGCTTTCGTTGTCGCTTTATTGTTAGTGGGTTAGTGGACTCCCTTCACTAGAGGTAAATTTTGTGTTAGTTTTCGTTTGTCTTCTAGCAAAATGTGGTCACAGTTACTCCTGCAGGAGCAGAAAACTGACTTCAATCGACTTTGCCAAGCGTCGTCTCAGAAAAGTGCATGTTAAACTGACTTGGTTTAGAAGATACCTACGCTACGAATATTCCGAATGTTTAGCTTTTTATACCCGTTACTCGTAGAGTAAAAGGGTATATTAAATTCGTTGAAAGGTATGTAAAGGGTAGAAGGAAGCGTTTCCGACCTTATAAGGTATATATATTCTCGATCAGTATCAATAGTGAAGAAGATCGAGCCATGTCCGTCTGTCCGTATGAACGCTAAGATCTAAGGAACTATAAGAACAGATTATACATACTTAATCACAACTTTCTAGTTCTAATAGTCCCTGAGATTTCACAGATTTCAGTTTTCTGTGATTTACGGTGCTTATAGTAGGGGTGGCATGATGCTGAAATAAACTTGCGCTGCGTAGGGACTTTAAGAATCTGCCCTTTTACTAACGGTTTTGACATGACTAGTTTATTCAAAGATATATTTATCAATAACATATAATGGAACATATGTAGGTTTCGTTTTGGAAATTAAAAGGGCAACGCAGTGTGCAATACAGATTGTTCACATTGATGTACTAAATCTGGTCGGTCCTTACTGCGATTCATCTATCATATGCTAAACGCGAGGGGTATTCACCAGTGTAACAGGTAGCGGGACATTGTTAACTGTTCCTTCTCTTTCACTTGTAAACTGCAAGCCACAAAGAAAACGCAACTAATAAATTAGTTGACGATCAAAAAGAAGCAGCACAAATCACTTTACTTCCTATTCG